TGTTCCTTCATTGCAGATATTTGGGATTGGTTTTTCTCTTTGTCTAGGTGTAGGTGTAAATGTGCTAATGGAAATTAAGATGCTGTTTGATTCATCAACTTTTGCTTGGCCAAAAAGAAGGGCAAGGCGTGGAGATGCAATAGAGCAGCAGTGATTTGAACCTTATGGGAAGAAAATAATGCTAGAATTTTCCAAGAGAAGGGGAGAAGTAAACAACAAATTATAGATTGTATAATGACCAGAGTTATACATTGTCTACGGACTTTGGATTTGTTTAGACAGTTCTCCTTTGATGATATTTGGAGGAGCTAGTATTCAGTGGCTTCTAGTTCAGTGCAAAAGGTTATAATAAGGTCGGTTTGGGTACCTCCATTTGAAGGTTTTCTGAAACTAAATTTTGATGGGAGCAGTTGAGGCAACGCAGATCCTTCTGGAATTGGAGGGGCCACAAGAGATAAGGAAGGGAATATTATAACATTATTCAGGACCTGTGGGGAATGAAGACTCATTGAAGCTGAATTGTATGCAGTTTTAAGAGGTGCTCTATGGCAAAAGAGATGAGGTTGGAGAACTTGATAGAAGGATATTCCAAGGTGGTGGTGGGCTGGCTAAAAGATCCGGATTCAGTGATATCATGTTATAGAGATGAAATGAAGAAATTCAAAGGGCTAACACAACGTATGAACTTGGTTATACAATGTGTGGGGAGGGAAGCTAATAGTTTGGCTGATTCTTTAGCTAAGCAAGTGGTAATGAGGGATCAGTTGTTTTATAACACACTTGTAAATTTCATGCTGTTTTTTCTTTAAGAGTGAGACTGCACCTTGCGTCCCTTTGGGATGCTTGTAACTGTTGCTTTTCCTTTTTGATTTCAATGCAATCTTTTACTTACAAAAAAATGATGCTGCATTTACATGGAAAAGGAGAAGAGTGCCATGAACACAATTATTTTTTTTTCCTTTTTTGGGCATGTGGAGGAAAATCAATTGGCAGATGATCTTGCCTAGTTTGGGTTGGGAAAGGCTTTTGTGTAAGCAGTTTTCAATGCTGATACAGCTTTTGTTTTTGAACAAAACCATGTACTGCTAAGAAGTAGTCTATGGGAAAGTTAACATTCGTCCCAAAGCAGCACAACACTTTATATGGTTAATGAACAAAGCCATGTACTGCAAAGGAAGAATAAGATATATAACCAACATTTAGCTTTCAAAATCACTAAGGATGAAGGTTGAGGACCGCCAGTCCAGTTTCTCTCAACAGGTGGCAAGTGATTGGGTCCTCCGATAGAAACTAGCGATACTTTACCCCAGCCTGAAGCCACTCCTTTTTATATGTTTCCTAGCCTGTAGACATTTCTTTGTATTTATGTCTGTATGTGTGTATTTTTTCTTTTGTTACTTGAAATGCAGTTGTGTTGGACTTTGATTGGTGAATATCCATTAAACAAGGAGGTGCTTATGTGTGTGTCTGTGTGTGCACATTTATGATTTTGTTACTTGACATTACACTTGTGTTGGGGTTGGACTTTGTGTGTTGGTGAATATCCATTAAGCAAGGGAATGCTTACCAATATAAGGTGTCACTATGTCAGTTACTTTAAGTCAACATATCCCATCAGTTAAATAAATACATGCATGTATTGTATGCATATATTTTGTGCTGCATTGTAATATATACCGTATTTCCTCCCTCTTCAAACTTTCTACAACTTGTTTCTCCTTTTTCCTTGTATGTTTTGGGCCCATTTGGGATGTTTTAACTTTGGTTCAGCTCCTTTGAAGAAGCTAATGGAAGAAGCTTGTCTGGAGAGCCATGTAAATGGTTGTAGATGACCAAAACTGGCTCTTTGGATTTTTTACCAAACATTGCTTATAGGCTTTCTGGGTGGGCCCTACCTTGCAAAGCCAAAGTCCATAGCTTGAAAGCCCTCCTGGAAAGGGCACTTTATCCCAACTCTTCAATCACTTTCTTAAAACAAGTGAAGAACATATCCACAATCTAACAATCAAGCAAAAATATAATGGGCAGAGAATTTATGCACACAATTCTACGCACGGATAATATGACAAGCTAATCCTCAACAGGCTGTTACAACCAGCATAAAGTTCAATGAATTCATTAATAACTATGAGCTGAAGGAACTCCCTTTGTGTCAAGCCCACTATACTTGGTCCAATTTTCAGGAAATACTAACCTGCTCAAAGTTAGATAGGTTCCTTTTTAATGAGAGTTGGGAAAACAATTGGAGGGATTTGATAGCTAGAGCCCTACCCAAAGTTACTTTGACCATTGTCCCATTGAGTTAGGACATGAGCCTTTTAGTCGATGACCCCGACATTTTAGGTTTGAGAACATGTGGTTGATACACCCGGACTTTGTAAAGAAGATTGAGGAATGGTGGAGGGTTGAAATTAGGGGGGTAAACTGGAAAGGGGTAAGATTTTCACAAAAATAAAAAAAAATTGAGGTCAAAATTGAAGGAATGGAATAGGGACCATTTTGGGAGAATAGAAGAATTAAAATCTTATTTGATGATCCAAATAAAGGAATTGGATATGAAGAAGGAATCACWAAGAATCATGAATACTCAGGAAAGAGAATTGAGATGGAAGTTGAAGATGGATCTAGAAGAGGTCCTCCAACGGGAAGAAATCTCTTGGAGGCAGAAATCAAGATGTAAGTGGATCAAGGAAGGGGATGAAAATACCAAATTCTTTCATGAGTTAGCCAATGGAAGGAGAAGGAAAAATCTGGTGACTAAATTAGAAGTGGATGGGTCAGTTTATGAGGCTTAAGAGGTGCCACTTGTTTTGCTGATCACCTTAAATCCATCCATTCTAAGGAGGCTCCTAGCTACTAGAGTGGATTTGGAAGGAATGAATTGGTAGAGACTTTCTGAAGAAAGCGAAGGTTGGCTGGAAAGGAATATTGAGGAGGAAATTAGGAAAGCTGTATTCTCAATGGACAAATTTAAAGCACCAGGGCCAGATGGATTTACTATGGCTTTCTTTGAAGATTGTTGGAATATAATCAAAGAAGATTTGCTTGAGGTTTTCAAAGAATTTGAGGATAATTCAGTTATAAGTTGCGAAGTCAATTCTACTTTTCTAGCCCTAATTCCAAAGAAGAAAGAAGCCAAATAGCCAAAGGATTTTAGACCTATTAGTTTGGTGACTAGTGTGTATAAAATTTTGGCTAAGGTCCTATCTTTGAGGATTACAATTACAAGGGTTCTTCCATCCCTCATTAGTCAAAGGAGCCTTTGTTGAGGGGAGACTAATAATTGATTAGATTTTAATAGCAAATGAATGGGTGGGGGAGATGAAGAGATAAGAGAATCAAGGTTTTATTTGTAAACTAGACCTTGMAAAGGTCTATGATCTAGTGGATTGGAGCTTTCTGTTAAAGGTACTAAGGAAGTGTGGGTTTGGGGATAGATGGTGCAAATGAATAAATGGTTGCCTTACCTCTTGTCATTACTCCATCTTAGTCAATGGGGTTGTTAATGACTTTTTCCTAGCTTATAGGGCCTAAGACAAGGGGATCCTTTGTCTTTGTTCTTATTCACACTAGTTGTCGATGCTTTTAGTAGACTCATATTAGAAGTGGACAAGAATGGGTCAATAAGAGGATGGAGAGTGGGTAGAGATAGAGTTCCGGTTACTCATCTTTAGTTTGTAGATGACATTATAATCTTTTCTGAGAATTATGATTTGATGAAGGTGAGAAAATTGAAGGATTTAATAATCCTCTTTGAAAGAGCCTCAAACCTGAAAGTCAATTTTGAGAAGAGCTGCATGGTAGGGATAAACCTGAATAGAGAGTAGATGGAGTCTATAGCAGCTTGCATAGGTTGCACATGGTCATAGTGGCCTTTATCCTATTTAGGACTTCCCCTAGGTGCTAGCCCAAAGGAAAGTAGGTTTTGGAACCTTGTGGTGGAAAAGTTTGAAAAAAGGTTGGCAGCTTGGAAGAGAAACTATATATCCTTGTGGGGTGAAGTAAACTTTGATTAAGGCAACACTAGCCAATTTGCCAATTTATTTCCTTTCAATCTTTAGGATTCCTAATAGGGAGGCTAAGAGGTTAGCAAAATTGATGAGAGACTTCTTGTGGGAGCCTGGGATAGAGAAAAAGGATCATTTAATCAGGTGGGAAGTGGTGAGCCAATGTAAAAAAGAAGGGGGCTTAGGGGTAGGAAATATACCGAGTAAGAATGAAGCTCTTCTAGGCAAATGGCTTTGGAGGTGGCCTTTGGAAAGAGAGGTTATGGCATGAAGTGGTAAAAAGTATTCATGGTTGTTCTGAATCCAGTTTGGATGCTGGGGTATCTTGAAGGGCTTTGCTCACAACACCTTGGGAGGCAATTTCTGGCACTCTCCCTAAATTCCTCAAGTTTGTAAGGTATGATGTTTACTCTGGAAGTTCTATCCTCTTTTGGGAAGATACTTTGGTGGGCTCTCAACCATTAAAAGATCATTTTCCTTCCCTCTATTCAATTTCCCTCCTTAAAAAGGAACCTGTTTCAAGGTTCCTATCCCCCCGGTTCTCTCGTTGGCTTTAAACTGGGACTTTGGCTTTTGTAGTGGTTTAAGGGATGATGATTCTGCTAGTGTTGCTGAACTTTTGCTTCTTCTAGACTTTGTGTGTTTGGATCCCTCCAAACTCAATAAAAGGATTTGGACTCTGACTTCGAATGGCTCCTTCAGTTGTGCTTTTTTCTTTAAATTCCTTTGCTCCATCCCTTCCTCTTGGGTTTTCCTAGTTAAAGAAATTTGGTCAAGACCAATTCCTCATAAAATAACTGTTTTCTATTGAGAAACCTTTTATGGTAAGATCAGCACTTTGAAAACTTACAAAGAAAAAGACCTTATTGGTGTTTATCCCCAAACTGGTGTATTTTGTGTAAAGTGAAGAGTGAGGACTGTTACCATTTGCTGATATCTTGTTTTTTCGCTGCTAATATTTGGAATTGGGTCTTTAACGCTATTTGGTTGCAGGTGCGACTTGCCCTCTGAAGTAAAGCTGCTTTTTGAACTGCATGCCTTAGGGCAGCTTACAAAAAGAGGGAGTTTAATGTGGAAGTGCATGAGAGCAGCTAGTTTGTGGACAATTTGGGAAGAAAGAAATGGTAGAATTTTCCAAGAAAAGGAAAGAAGCCTTGCTGAGGTCAAGGAGTGTATCATGACAAGGACAATATCTTGGCTGAAAACTTCAGATCTGTTTGTGAACTATTCCATTGATGATTTGAGGAGAAACTGGGCAGTAGTGGCATCCACAACTTCCACAAACATTATTCTACAAGCAGAACGGAAATCTCCCCCAGAAGGTGTGGTAAAAATGAATTTTGACAGAAGCAGTCAAGGTAATCCAGGGCCCTCGGGTATAGGAGGGGTTATGAGAAATAAGGATAGCAGCATAATATCTTTATTCTCAAGACAAGTGGGAATTGGTGACTCTACAAGAGCTGAGATACTAGCTGTGGTACAAGGAATACAAGTTGCTAGCCAGCTTGGAGTGGAGAACCTGATAGTTGAAGGGGACTCCAAGGTGGTAGTGGGCTGGCTGTCAAACCCAGAAGCAACACACTGGGGTTACTGGGATCTTCTAAAGAAAGTTCATTGGCTTACTAGGAATATGTTATTTTTTAGTGGGTCAGCAGATCGGCAAATGCCATGGCTGACTCCTTGGCTAAACATGGGGTATCAAGGGGTGATCTGTTCTGGGCTACCTTATAATTGTAATTCAGGATAGAGTGTGTGCTTAACTGCTTAGCTCTAAGGGGAGGTAACATCTCGTGCCTCCTCTTAGGCTGATTGTACACTTTTCTATTCTATGCTTAATAAAATACCACTTATTTATACACAAACAGAATAAGCATATTATAAATTGTTATTCATTGGTCACTCAGTTGCTACTCCACTTTGTGTACACTGGTTGATGAACTCTAGAATAAAATGAGAATCATTCAGTGGAATGACTGATGAATAGAACATGGTTTATATTCCAATCTGATTGGGTTTTAATTCAATATTCTTATTCATGTAATAGACTAATTTCATACCTTGACATTTCTCTTTGTTGTGGATTCTCAGGTCATAAATTTACCAAGGAGGGATCCAAACAAGCATTGCTGAATCTTACACAAGACCCTGAAATGGTTCACATCAACCAACTACTAATGCTTTTTTTTTTGACTTGTTAGGCTTCCATAATGCATTATCTGTGCTTTGAATTTCTATTCAAGCAGATCTGAATGTTTTGGCAGTTGTACTTTGTTATCTATATCAGAAGATTTTTTTTAATATTGCCCTGCTTAATCAATGCAATGTTTGAAATTATAATTACCTAGTCTTGTTTAATGACTTGAACATACGTAACTAGCTTATTTATTATTTCAGGGTGGTGGTTACATTTTTGAGTTTGACAAGTTCTCTGATCGTGACGTTTGTCGAGATTTTGTTGGTAAGTTTCTAACTTGGTCAAATTATAACCAAAATTATTTAAACTAGGCTAAGAAGCTAGTAGAAGATTTTTTTTGAAAGGTACAATGTTGTATTTGTTGGCAGATGTTGCACACAGGTTTAGTACCGCAAGGGTACTATTGTAATTTCCCCATATTTTATGTTGTACGACCAGACTAGTATAAATAATTACTGCACACGCCTGCAGTACTCTTTTGGGGCTTTCAGCCCTTTCGCCTCTCCTCTCTTCTCTTCCTCTCTTCCTCCTCTCTTCTCTTGCTCTTGCTCAACATGGTATCAGAGCAAGTCGTCCAGGCCTGAAGGGTGGTGTCAAGAAAATCTGTTGTGTTCAATGTCAAGCAGTTAGTCTCTTCATCTCCCAGAGCTATATCCATCGAACTACTAATCTGTTGTGCTTAGTTCGACCTTATGCATGAAGATGCCTGCCTGACTTTTCATCTTCCAGCGCAGAAAAGGGTTCTAGTTATAGAGACTTTTCATCTTCCAGCCCAGAAGTTGTATCCATTGTCTGTTCGACTGTAGAGAGGCTATCATCTGATGTTCGTAGAGGAAGTTCTTGTTTACAGAGAGGCTATCATCTGATGTTCAAGAAGGAACTGTTCATCTACTGTTTGGGTGCCCTGGTATTCAACTGATTTTTTTTCTTTTGTATTTCTTTGCACCCTTTGATGGACTGTTGATGCCCTAAAGTTGGTATTGTATTTTCCATTGACTGTTCGACTACCCTGTTGATTGACTGTTTGGCTACCAGGTCTGCCGATTAGGTGTGTGGTGAACTTCACCTTCTATTTTCCATTCTGTTTGGGGGTCATATGACTTCTGTAACATCATAGGTCATACAGACCTGGTTATGTACTGCAACTGCAATGTTATTTTTTGTTTGGATTCCTACAAAATCGTAGGTCATACAGACCTGTTTAAGTGCTGCAACAACAGTGTTTGGTCTTGGCTGCCAGTGAAACCGTAGGTCAGAAGGACCTGGTTGTGTGCTGAAACAGCAAGTGTTCTTTCTTTTGTGGACTGAAGGTCATAAGGACCTGTTTCTGTAACAGCTCTGTAAGGCAGTACTCCTTTGGTTGCTGTCTTCTCTTAAACCCGAAATCATGAGTAGTGAAGATTCAGCCACATC